ACACAGAAATGATCGGTCTAACAATGGAATGTTCGCCCCTCACACAGAAATGATCGGTCTAACAATGGAATGTTCGCCCCTCACACAGAAACGATCGGTCTAACAATGGAATGTTCGCCCCTCACACAGAAATGATCGGTCTAACAATGGAATGTTCGCCCCTCACACAGAAACGATCGGTCTAACAATGGAATGTTCGGTGTAACACTGAGAGACAGAATACAACAACAAATTCAGCAGAAATGCGTCTAACAAATGATGACGGATCTGCATGTTCATGAGGGAAAGGAGGATTTGATCCCCTATCATTCAGCAGGATTTCTGGCTCCCAGGTGTCTCTCATACAGGTAACAAGCTGAGATTAGAAGCAGTCTCTTAAAGGGAGTGCTGCTAATCTCATTGTGTTTACCTGTATAAAAGACACCTGTCCACAGGAGCCATCAAACCATCAGATTCCAAACTCTCCACCATGGCAAAGACCAAAGAGCTGTCCAAGGATGTCAGGGACAAGATGGTAGACCTACACAAGGCTGGACTGGGCTACCAAACTATGGCCAAGCAGTTTGGTGAGAAGGTGACAACAGTTGGTGCAATCATTCACAAATGGAAGAAACACAAAACAAGTGTCAGTCTCCCTAGGTCTGGTGCACCATGCAAGATCTCCCCTCGTGGAGTGTCAATGATCATGAGAACAGTGAGGAATCATCCCAGAACTACACGTGAGGATCTTGTCAATGATCTCCAGGCAGCTGGGACCACAGTCACCAAGAACACAAATTGGTAACACACTACGCCGACAAGGACTGAAATCCTGCAGTGCCCGCAAGGTCCCTCTGCTCAAGAAAGCCCATGTCCAGGCCCGTCTGAAGTCTGCCACTGAACATCTGAAGGATGCAGAGGAGGACTGGTGGGAAGTGTTGTGGTCAGAGGAGACCAAAATCCAGCTCTTTGGCATCAACTCAACTCGCCGTGTTTGGAGGAGGAGGAATGCTGCCTATGACCCCAAGAACACCATCCCAACTGTAAAACATGGTGGTGGAAACATTCTGCTTTGGGGGGGTTTATTTTCTCTGCTAAGGGGACAGGACAACTGCACCGCATCAAAGGGACAATGGACAGGGCAATGTACCCTCAAATCTTGGGTGAGAACCTTCTTCCCTCAGCCAGGGCATTGAAAATGGGTGGTGGATGGGTGTTCCAGCATGACAATGACCCAAAACACACGGCCAAGGCAACAAAGGGAGCGGCTCAAGAAGAAGCACATTAAGGTCCTGGAGTGGCCTAGCCAGTCTCCACACCTTCATCCGATTGAAAATCTGTGGAGGGAGCTGAAAGTTCGAGTTGCCAAACGTCAGCCACCAAACCTTAATGACGTGGAGAGGATCTGCCAAGAGGAGTGGGCCAAAATCCCTCCTGAGATGTGTGCAAACCTGGGGGCCAACTCCACGTAACGTCTGACCTCTGTGATTGCCAACAAGGGATTTGCCACCAAGTACTAAGTCATGTTTTGTGAAGGAGATCAAATCCTTCTTTCCTTCACTGTAATGATGACATTTAATGTTTATTATATGTTTTGTGGGATTTGTTCCTTTACCCTTTGTGCTGTAGCGGCTTTCAGATTTCAGCGCTCGCCATATATTTTTGTATTTTATACTGAAAAATAGCTTTTTTGGCCGTTTCCACTACGGCGTTGCGGTGCTGCATGTGTTAACACCCGCTTCACTGCAACATGTGGCAAGGAATGTAAATGCGTCCGTCAGTCGCAATGCCATTTGCTCTTCATTGCGCCCCAACTCACCTTCTGACAGTCGTCACCATTTTTTTTTTTACAAATGCACAATAGCGCGTTGCGGCGTGACGCATTGAGCTGCAATGTGTGTCTTTTGGTGAGGTGCATTGGGGTGCCATTCAAATGCATGGTTGCTGCATCTGTCCACCGCATTTAATGTGCGTTCCGGTAAAGCGTGTTACTGCAATGTCATGGTGAGGAAATTGTCTGCATCAGCACCACAAGAGCTTACAATCTAATGTCTGAACCACAGCCGGACACACACTTGGGTGGGTTCCATTGATAGAATGACATATTTACTTGCACTGTTATATTATATTTTTTACTTTTCCGATCTTTGTCCGGTCCCTCCTGACCCCCCCCCCCCCCCATATCTCCTCTGGTATGTAGGGTGCTCAGTAATAGTCTGCACCAGTGAAGCGGGGAGTGCAGCAACAGCTTCCTGTCAATGTGGTTTCTGAGAAGGGGGGGGGGGGTGCTTCACCAGCTTCCTTCCCTTTTCTCAACTGGCAGGCAGAGAGAACAGATTAAAGAATTTTTTATTCCAAAAGGCACCAACGGCAGCACGGTAAGAGCCTTCACAAATGTACTTTCATGGGGGGGGAGCATCTTGGCTCCAGCTTATGGCATGGACACCGAGGAGGTACTACAAGACCCAGCATGTCATGCCAGTCCTGACCAGCTCTGCGGACCCAGAGAACCTGGCGGGGCCGCACACCTCACCTGAGATTGAGAGAATCCTGGGGGGTGCCCAGCTTAGGGCCATGTTGGAAAACAGCTTGTGGAGGGTCTCTGTAGGGTTAGGAATGGATTGGAGACGTGTGTGGGCGGGGACATCTCTTCATCCATCGTCACCTGCCAGTGTGTGGGGCCCTTTTTGAAAATTTAATTTATTTTTCTTCTTTAAAATTCCATAAACTGTCCAAATTATTTCAGATTGCAACTTTTTCTCTTTAAGGGTTTTTAAGCAGCTAATGTGTCATTACATGTCCTGGCACTTGAACTGAGCTTGGACCTGGTGGGACCAGATGAGGTATACGGTCAGTCCACCCAAAAATGTTCAAAAACTTCAGGTTAGATATTTAGAGACAGAAACGGTTTTTTTGGCTTTTTACGTGTCAGAGGTTCTAGAAGTTAGAACCCTGGGCTTAGGTTCCCGGCTCCACCCATCCGCTGAAGCCATGGTAGGGGGCCTTAGTTTTTTTGAAACTACAGCAGAAGTACTGAGACTGGCAGAACTATCCCTCCTCCCACCAAGAATTTATTTTTTAACAAATTGTTTAAACAAATAAATAAATTAATGGAAAAAAAAAAATAATAAAAAAAAAATTACCGAGCCGACCCCTGTTTTCACTTCCTAACTCTTGCTGTAGGATTGTGTTGAGATGTTTTATAATTTTTTTTAAATACAATGATATCTTTTATTTTAAATATTTTTTTTATTTATATATATATATATATATATATATATATATATATATATATAAAATCATACTCTGTAATTTTAGTTTTTCTAATACATGTAAAAAAAAAAAAAAAAAAAATATATATATATATATATATATATATATATATATATATATGTAAAATCGTACTTTTTAGTTTTAGCTTTTTTAATATATGAAAATATATATATATATATATATATATATATATATATAAAAATCATACTCTGTAATTTTAGTTTTTCTAATACATGTAAAAAAAAAAAAAAAAAAAAAAAAAAATATATATATATATATATATATATATATATATATATATATATATATAAAATCGTACTTTTTCGTTTTAGCTTTTTTAATATATGAAAATATATATATATATATATATATATATATATAAAAAATCATACTCTGTAATTTTAGTTTTTCTAATGCATGTAAAAAAAAAAAAAAAATATATATATATATATATATAAAAAATCGTACTTTTTAGTTTTAGCTTTTTTAATATATGAAAAAAATATATATATATATATAAAATCGTACTTTTTAGTTTTAGCTTTTTTTAATATATGAAAAAAAAATATATATATATATATATGTGTGTGTGTGAGAGGGGGAATATTTTTTTTTTTTTTGTTTAATATAATTCCATTTATTATTTTAAATACTGTTTACAATCGGTCGCACTCCCTCAAGTCTACAGCAAGTCATACGATAATGTTTATTTGCAGCAGAAGAGTGCAGACCTACAGTGTACCATGTAGAAGGACATAACTGTGGCCCTAACAGACCAGGCCAATGCCGTGGGGCCCCCTGATCTATGTAGTTAGCAATACCTTTTGACAGAAAAAATGTAAATGTATATATATATATATTTATATTTATAAATTTTTGAAAATGTATAAAATTTTGGGAAGCTTCTGCACAATTATTATAGAGGATTTATACAGCGCCGTACAGTTTGTGCATCATTTTCCAATCTAAAGGGAGTGAATTCAGTTACAATATAAAAAAATACAAGAGGGTTAGGAGGGCCCTGCTCACAAGAGCTCACAATCTAATGGTTGGCCATCAGAGTAAATAGTATTCATCACAAGGGGGGGGGTCCTTAATGGTTCTGATATGGGGCCTGTATTACGCATAGTCCCGCCATGTAGGTGGATGAATGCAGTTGGCTGGGGGTGAGAAGATGGAGGGCTGGAGTGAGCTGTTGTCTGACGCTTCTTATGGGTCAGGCAGCACAGAGTTCAGGCAGGTGTCAGGGAAGATATAACTGCAGACTCAGTAATTGGGATGTTACCCTCATCCAGAATCAGACTCGGTACCCAGGGCCAGGACTGGGGGTGGGTGGGAGGGGTGGCCCCCCCCTCCCCCCGGGGCACAATGGTTTACCTTCCTTCTGTTACAAGGCTGACAGGGGTAGTGATAGCGGCAGAATTTTGAAAAGCGAGTGACTGCTGGGCGCCGGATCTTCTACAACTGCACATCCTGAATGAAGTGGGGGGGGGGGGGGTAGTTTGGCATCTTTGCCCTGGGCGCTAGATGACCTTGGCACTGACTGTACCAACCAGGGCAGGGGTCTAACAAAAGTACAATTTTCCCTCTTTAATATTTATCATCCCTCTGGCCTCCCTTCAGTCATACACAGTTGTATTGGCTCCTCCCCTTCAGTCATACACGGTTTTACTGGCTCCACCCCTTCAGTCTTGCACAGTTGTACCAGCTCCTCCCCTTCAGTCTTGCACAGGTGTACAGGCTCCTCCCCTTCAGTCTTGCACAGGTGTGCTGGCTCCTGCCCTTCAGTCTTGCACAGGTGTACCAGCTCCTCCCCTTCAGTCTTGCACAGGTGTAACAGCTCCTCCCCTTCAGTCTTGCACAGGTGTATCAGCTCCTCCCCTTCAGTCTTGCACAGGTGTACCAGCTCCTCCCCTTCAGTCTTGCACAGGTGTATCAGCTCCTCCCCTTCAGTCTTGCACAGGTGTACCAGCTCCTCCCCTTCAGGCTTGCACAGGTGTACCGGCTCCTCCCCTGGACTGAAATGACTCTGATGTCACTGCACACTGTGAACTTCTCACTGCAACAAGTCAGATAGAGCTCCACCTCTTTTCCTAGCTGGAGGACATCCAGTATATCTAGCCATTTCCTCCCCAGGCTGACTTCCATGGCCCCGCCCCTTTCATTCATTTGATTGAGAAAAAAACTTGAAGTGTCTGGGGCACATTTCATGTTGGACCAAACTTCATTTTGTGCAATGGCTGCTTTGCTGCTTAGATTCCAACAGTTGGATTACATAGACTGAAGGTCAGAGCCAGTAAAAAGGGGCCAAATTCTATTCTATGGCTTGGGGAGGGCCCACTGCTGGATGGAGTTCTATTTCTTTCACACTGAGTCCCTCGGCTCGCTTTGGCGGATGATTCGAGGTATCTGATGGGAGATCTGATGTCACAGATAGGGGGAGCGCCTTGTGATGGAGTCGGTTGTGTGATGGAGGGAGGATGTTCTAGCCGTGCCGGGTGACCCTCGTCTAATCACATCTCCTCATCATCCTCTAATAGGATCTGTCTTGGCCCAACAACTAATAGAAGAGCTCACAAATTCCCGGCTCACGAGGCAGCGTTAGTACGCCCCCCACCACCGCCATATTTACCAACTGTCACTGCTCAGAACTCCCAATCTGCACTCCGGGCCGCTGACATAGAAAAGCACTGACACCAGTCAGTATGACAGTCAGGAAACCAAACCGTTTCACAATGGTGGTGGACAGGTTCTCTTGGTGCCTTCAGCTCTGTACACCCCCCATGGATGGTGTAATGCTGACATTTCTATTATCGGCCTGTAGTTACATACACTATATTGCCGGCAGTAGTGGGCCACCGGCCTTTCCACGCACATGACCTTCAATGGCCCCCCAGTCTTAGTCCGTAGAGTTCAATATTGAATTGGCCCGCGCCTTTCCACACTCATGACCTGTAATGGCCCCCCAGTCTTAGTCCGTAGGGTTCAATATTGAGTTGGCCCCGCCCTTTCCACACACATGACCTTTAATGGCCCCCCAGTCTTAGTCCGTAGGGTTCAATATTGAGTTGGCCCCACCCTTTCCACGCACATGACCTTTAATGGCCCCCCAGTCTTAGTCCGTAGGTTCAATATTGAGTTGGCCCCGCCCTTTCCACGCACATGACCTTTAATGGACTCCCAGTCTTAGTCCGTAGAGTTCAATATTGAATTGGCCCCCCTTTCCACACTCATGACCTTTTAATGGCCACCCAGTCTTTGTTAGTCCGTAGGGTTCAATATTGAGTTGGCCCCGCCCTTTCCACGCACATGACCTTTAATGGCCTCCCAGTCTTAGTCCGTAGAGTTCAATATTGAGTTGGCCCCCCTTCCCACGCCCTTTAATGGCCACGTCACATGACCACATGACCTTTAATGGCCCCCAGTCTTAGTCCGTAGGGTTCAGGGGCCCCACCCTTCAATTTAATGCCCCCCAGTCTTAGTCCGTAGGGTTGGTTGGCCCGCCCTTTCCACGCACATGACCTTTAATGGACCTCCCAGTCTTAGTCCGTAGAGTTCAATATTGAATTGGCCCCGCCCTTTCCACACTCATGACCTTTAATGGCCTCCCAGTCTTAGTCCGTAGGGTTCAATATTGAGTTGGCCCGCGCCCTTTCCACGCCACATGACCTTTAATGACCTCCCAGTCTTAGTCCGTAGAGTTCAATATTTGAGTTGGCCCCGCCTGCTTTCCACGCACATGGCTTTAATGGTCTCCCAGTCTTAGTCCGTAGGGTTCAGTATTGAGTTGGCCCTGCCCTTTCCACACACATGACCTTTAATGGCCCCCCAGTCTTAGTCCGTAGGGTTCAATATTGTGTTGGCCCCACCCTTTGCAGCTATAACAGCTTCAACTCTTCTGGGAAGGCCGTCCACAAGGTTTAGGAGGGTGTCTATGGGAAGGTTGGACCATTCTTCCAGAAGCACATTTGTCAGGTCAGGCACTGATGTCGGGGGAGGAGGCCTGGCTTGCAGTCTGCGCTCTAATTCATCCCAAAGGTGTTCTATGGGGTTGAGGTCAGGACTCTGTGCAGGACAGTCAAGTTCCTCCACCCCAAACTGGCTCCTCCATGTCTTTATGGACCTTGCTTTGTGCACTGGTGGGCAGCCATGTTGGAACAGGAAGGGGCCATCCCCAAACTCCTCCCACAATGTTGGGGGCATGAAATTGTCCAAAATGGTGCCTTAAGAGTTCCCTTCACTGGAACTAGGAGGCCAAGCCCAACCCCTGAAAAACAACCCCCCCACCATAATCCCCCCCTCCACCAAACTTTACACTTGGCACAATGCAGTCAGGCAAGTACCGTTCTCCTGGCCACCACCAAACCCAGACACGTCCATCGGATTGCCAGACAGAGAAGTGTGATTGGTCCCTCCAGAGAAACACGTCTCCACTTCTCTAGAGTCCAGTGGCGGCGTGCTTTACACCGCGGCATCCGACGCTTTGCATTGCACTTGGTGATGGAAGGCTTGGATGCAGCTGGTCTTTTCTGCACAATAGTCTATCACTGGCCCTGTACATGTCAGGTACATATCTTGAGTGTGTGGTGATTCTTGTTACAGTATGGCATCACACGTGTGCAGGTGAAAACTTTCCACTTCATCTGCGGAGGAGTGACAGGAAGGCGCAGAGCTGCCTCTGTATGACTTTCTCATGCTGGTCGGATGAACGGTCTGCATTTCCTTTTAAGGTGTTTTTGCTGTTTTAGTGTCTTTCTGGCAATGGTGGAGGTGATCATGTGACACGGCCCGTCATGTCTGACCGTTTTCATTTTTTTTTAACTTTCAAACCCCCATCATTTGGCTCCACCCATCCCCTCTCTGGCACTGCCACCTTCCAAATTCTGGCACGTGTGGGCCAGCTTTCGGGACCCAGCAGGAACTTGCAGCACATCTGTATGTGCTGGGGAGGGAGGGGGTCCTATAAATGAACAGACACCCAGAGAGCTCCGTACCTGTGAATGGGCAGGTGTGACTCAGGTCTCTGCCGGGTCCTGAAGCCCTGTGGCAGGATCTAGCCTGTTGGATCTGGGGGTAGAGTGAAAAAAATGTCAGGGTGCATAATGTCAGCACTGTGTGTCAGTGTCCTGTCCTGGGGAGCACTGTTACTGACATTAGATTAGGATGATTGAACAGAACCTGGGCCCCCTTATATCAGATGTCCCCATCAGAGTGCCCCCTTATATCAGATGTCCCCATCAGAGTGCCCCCCTTACATCAAGTGTCCCCATCAGAGTGCCCCCTTATATCAGATGTCCCCATCAGAGTGCCCCTTTACATCACCTGTCCCCATCAGAGTGCCCCCTTATATCAGATGTCCCCATCAGAGTGCCCCCTTACAACAGGTGTCCCCATCAGAATGCCCCCTTAAATCAGGTGTCCCCATCAGAGTGCCCCTCTACATCATCAGATGTCCCCATCAGAGTACCCTCCTTGTTACATCATCAGTGTGTCACCAAACGTCCCAGAGTGCCCCCTTACTCAGGTGCCCCCATCAGAGTGCCCCCTTATATCAGTGTCCCCATCAGAGTGCCCCCTTATATCAGATGTCCACATCAGAGTGCCCCTTACATCAGATGTCACATCAGAGTGCCCCTTATATATCAGATGTCCACATCAGAGTGCCCCCTTATATCAGATGGCCACATCAGAGTGCCCCCTACATCAGGTGTCCCCATCAGAGTGCCCCACTATATCAGATCCCTAGGTATCCCCTTTTTACATCAGGTTTCTCTTCAGTGCCCCCTTACATCAGTGTGTCCCCATCAGAGTGCCCCCTTATATCAGATGTCCCCATCAGAGTGCCCCCTTACATCAGTTGTCCCCATCAGGAGTGCCCCCTTACATCAGTTGTCCCCATCAGAGTGCCCCTTACATCATTTGTCCCCATCCAGAGTGTCCCTTTACATCAGATGTCCCCATCAGAGTGCCCCCTTGCCAATCAGTGTCACACATCAGAGTGTCCCCTTATATCAGATGTCTCCATCAGAGTGCCCCCTTATATTTAGGGTCCCATCAGAATGCCCCCTTAAATACAGGTGTCCCATCAGAGTGCCCCTTCTACATCGTCCACCATAGTTTCCCCATTTATATCAGAGTGCCCCTTTGTTACCCTTTTACATCAGGTGTCACCATCAGAGTGCTCCCTTACAACAGGTGTATCAGAGTTGCCCCCTCTACATCAGATTACCCATCATGTGTGCCCCCTTACATCAGGTGTCCCCTCATCAGAGTGCCCCTTACATCAGGTGTCTCCATTAGAATGCCCCCTTACATAAGGTGGCACCATCAGAGTGCCCCTTACATCAGGTGTCCCCATCAGAGTGCCCCCTTAAATCAAGTGTCCCCATCAGAGTGCCCCTTACATCAAGGTGTCCCATCAGAGTGCCCCCTTACATCAGGTGTCCCCATTCAGAGTACCCCCTATTCAGCTGTCCCTCGATCAGGTGTCTCTTCTCATCAGGGTCCCAAGCAGATTGTCCCCTTACATCAGGTGTCCCCACATCAGATCAGAGTGCCCCATTACATCAGGTGTCCCCATCAGGAGTGCCCCTTTTACATCCAGGTGACCCCTCATCAGAGTGGCCCTCCCATACGTCAGGTGTCCCCATCAGAGTGCCCCACTTACATAGGTGACACCCCCATCAGAGTGCCCCCTTACTTCAGGTGTTCCCAGCAGTGTGTGCCCCCATTAGTTCAGATCAGTGTATGCACTGTCCTGTGGGGGGCGGGGGGGGCGGGCACAGCTAAAAGTCTTGGGGGGTCACAGCCCACCCCAGCACCCCTCCGGTAGATCCTGCCCCATGTGGCAGTACATAAGCCCGGGGATTTCCTAGGAAAAGAAAGAAGGAAGTGTTAACCTGTAGCAAAAAAGAAAATCAGAAACACCAAAAACTATCATTAAAAAAAAAATTAAAATTGTAGAAAAGGGAAGGAGAAGGGGCCAGGAGGTACAAAATAAATAGTTCTTCATTCTTTCACCCGTTGCGTTTCCCCATCTTCCTTTCACAATTTTGCGTTCCCCGTAACCTTTCACCCGTTTGCGTTTCCCCTCTTCCTTTCACCGTTTGACGTTCCCCGTCTTCCTTTCACCGTTGCGTTCCGTCGTTGTCCTTTCCCGTTTGCGTTCCCATAGTC